GGGGGTTTCCTTTCTTTTAGCACCTAGACAACAATGAGCACTTGACTCGTGTAGGGTGGGGGGATCCCCACTGCAAGGGTTAATAAAAAATTTTAACCAGAGTTCTTTAACAGTGCAAACTGATGGCTACAATATTGAAAGTACAAATATACTAACAGCAACAGGTAAGTATTGGAATGTACACGTTAGTGACGCATGCTCCTACAATGTTACTGCGCGGAGTCTCTCAGAACAGATGGGCTTTGGGAACATCCTAATTGGATTCTTATTTTGTAAACCTAATGACAATGATTGAGCCATCTAATAGCTTCCCCAGGCTTCACTTTGTAGGATCTGGCCATAAATGATCTGAAGTGCAGAGAGGTACTGTAGAAGGTGTTACTGCCAGAATTATGTGCGGACGCCTACTTGCTCCTAATGTTACCTTTTTTATAATGTTAATTTAGCTGCCGGTTTGTTTTACTTGTGTTTTTCAGCAGGGAGGGTGTTGTGTGCAGCGCCATGCATCAAAGTATGTGTAAAGTGTCTTTATTTGCTGCATCATTTTTGTACCTTTTGGGAGATGTTCTTGTTGGATACAAAACAAAGAATTGAGTAAGCAGGAAGTTTTCAGAGTTATGGATGTGAACTGCAGTATAAGAAATATAATTTGTAACAGTCTGTATGCTTTAGGTGCAGTTTAACCCTTTCAGTACTGGCTACTGCTTTCCATTTTGCACCTCCCGTAGATTAACTAGTTTTTCATTTTTTTCACATTACATTATACTACATTACATTGCATCTTAAAAGCTTGTGATAGATCCTCAAATTCAAATATTTTCACAATGCGCAGAACCTATAGCATTTTTTTGCATAATGTTTATTAAGTGACACCAAAAGCTTAATTTTTGTTTAGCGTCTTTCCAAAATTGTGCCTCCTATTTTTTCTTTCTTTTTTGAATGATATCTCTAACCTGTTAAGGGGATGCCTGTTGTGTGCAGTGTAATAGGGTCAGGGGTGTGGAAATTTTTGAAAAAACTACTTGTCCAAGGGCCAAAGCGGGGGCCAAATCTACTGGTCCTTCATAACAATCTACTTGTCCCAATACAAAAAAAAATAATTTTAATTAAAACTAGGGATGCACCAATACCGGTTTTTGGGTATAGCGTACCGATATTTTGCTTTCGGCACTCACCGAGTATCGGTGCTTCCGTTTGCATGGAGCAGGCTTCCTGACTGCCAGGGAAGCTGACTCCATGTTTGGCCGGCTTGATTGTGAATGGCTTGGAAGCCGGTTTCCTGGCCAGTTTCCTGGCCAATCAGCATCGAGCCAGCTTCCTGGCCAATCAGAAAACCGGGCGGCGAGTAATGACCTGATTGGCCAGGAAGCCGGCTCGATGCTGATTGGCTGGGAAGCTGGCTTCCCAGCCAAACAGCAAGGAGCTGGCTTCCTGGCCAATCAGGAAACTGGGAGACGGGTCATTAGTCGCTGACCCGCTTCCTGATTGCACGGGAAGCTGGCTCCATGTTCCCCTCCGGCACTGCCGGTCAGAGGAAGTCTTCCTCTGACCAGAAGTTCAGGTATTGGAGAAGATATCGAGCATTTGGGCGAGTACAAGTACTTGCCCAAATACTCTGTATCTGTGCATCCCTAATCAAAACTGTATTGGTCTGTGCTAAATAGCGCTTCTCAGTGGTCAGCGTGGTCCCCAGACCACGCTGACCAATGAGTGCTTGCAATTTGCGAGCGAAATTCAAAATGCATAGGGCAGGACTGCGCTGGACAGTACGGGGTAAGGACAGTACACCTGTACCGGCGGAGGGTAAGGACTGTTTGCCGAAAGGTAAGTATAGCCGGGGGG